TCCAGGTCTCGTAAGGTGAGCATCCAAACAGCCTAGGCTCCCACAAAGCCAATACATGCAATAGGATCAAAAACCCATTGCCATTGTTCTTGATGTCTCAGTAGTCCTCATTGTCCGCTATGTTCAGTGAGACCTGTTTTAACCCAGGCTTTTTCAGACCCAGGTCAGCTGGCCTTGGTGAGTTCCCGATAGATCATCTCCATTGTCCCAGTGTGGGTGCACCCCTCGCGGTCCTGCGTTCCTCGCTCATGTTCGCTCTCCTTCTGCTCCTGATTTGGACCTTGAGAAGACAAAACTCTTACACATAAAACAAATAAATAAATCTTTTAAACCCCTCACTCTGTGGGGCTGGAGAGATGGCTCAGAGGTTAAAAACACTTTTTACTCTGCCAAAGGACCCTCAGTTCCCAGCATCCACACGAGGCTCCAGTTCCACGGGATCTAGTGTCCTCTTCAGGCTTCTGTGAGCACCCATATACACGTGGCACACACATACACAAGAATAACATAAAACAAATTTAAAAGGAAAAAAATAAAAATAAATAAAAACGCCTCACTTCGTAGCCCAGGCAGGCCTGCCTGGAAATTTCTCGCCTCCAGCCTCAGCATTGAGAAGCTAGGATGCCAGGCTCCGGCAGAGACCGTCTGCAGTCCACTGCCCGCTTCTGTCCTTCTGCTTTTCTTATCTAAACCGCCTAAGTTTAAGACGTGACGCATAGACAGGCCCTTCCTGTGAAGTCAGATAGATAGCAGTCTATCTGATCCTGAGTTCCCTTTACCATGGGGGAAGAAAGTGCTCAGCCACTGGCCCGATGAACTTCATGACTTCATTTCAGCCAAGTGTGGGGACCAGACAGGATTTGTTGGTGACCGGCAGATCGGTACTGGAGCCCTCTGATTCCATCTCGGTGTGTTTGGTAAGAAAACCTAGATGACCCTGACACCTTGGGCTTTGTTCAGCCTGCTAGACTACTTATGTACAGTGGTTCCAAGTTCAGTATCTTCTGTTTCCTTCTATTCTTGTCCTAAGATTTATATTTTTAGGGAGTCTTAACCGTGTAGTCTTGGCTGATCTGGAACTCACTACACAGACTAGACTAGCCTTAAACTCACAGAGATGTCGATCCTGTCTCTGCCTCCTGAGTGCTGGGATTAAAGATGTGCACCATCATACCCGACTCTTGCCCTAGCTTTTATTTCTCCTGTCTTATCCCCATGTCTTTCTTTTACTAAAAATCCTATTCATTCTACTTGTCTTTGTTTTTAATATTTTCATTCCAAAAATAATGAATATTTATGTCATTCACTCCCTTCCATAAAAATGACTGTTTCTTCTGGCTTCTGACTCTGTTCCCGTTAGTCTTGTTTCTTCACCCACTGTGCCCAGGTCCACACATCATGGATATGGATATACTTGCATGGGATTCCCGTTCTGTCTCTCTCACTAAATTTCCCTTCAGTTCTCTGAGCCCTTCCCTGGTGCTGCTGGTTCTATCATCTATAATTAGTATTTGATTTGGGAATCTGCTTTTCTTTACTCAACACAGGTAAATTTTAGGCTCAGGATTTTAGATATCTTTTTAATTACTGCTGGCTAACTCAATACTAAAATCTTAAAAAAAAATAACTAATAATCTTAAATATAGAGGGTGGTTTTTTGGGGGGATTGTGTAACTATGAACTGTGATCTGGCAGTGATGGCTTTTTAAGGCCTGACTTGCCTACACTTTCAAAGCAGATAACTTGTGCTATTTAAGCGATAGCTCACAGCATAGAGCTCAGTTTCTCTCCTATCGGGACCTTGCTCTTTTCAATGCCTGTTCTTTTAAGAGCACCGCCCACTTTCTTATCAAGACTGTGGTTTCTCAGCGATGTGATCCTTGCAGTAAAAAGAACGTTGGCCTGTAGTTATTGGATGAAGCACCTGTGACCTTTCCTGCTGTGACCCTGTGAGGGCCACACGGTCCCCTGAGTTTCAGCATCAAAAACTGAAAAGTGAAGAGGGATGATTTCTGTGTGGTTGTTTGTTCCTGCTTTTCTCTCGGTATATTATGGATCTGTGCATTAACAATAGATCAGCGGTCTTGCCATTCACATCAGGGGCTAGAAGGATTGGGGGATCTGCGTAGAAAAAGGACAGCTAGGAAGATGGGAATCATTTCTCCTTTTTTAATTTTGTTGACTCATCATTTTAACTTCTGCTTATCGGGTAAGACTCTGTGGCAAACTTTGTCAAGCTCAGCAGAACAATTTCCAAATATCTGGACTTCCGCTAAAAAAAAAAAAAGTAAAGTGCTATTACATCCAGTAATAATTGGGTACTTAGAAACAAACAGAAATTAGAAGAGATAACATAGGAATTAAGAAAGCCGTCTGGGTAAAAAATGAAAAGGCTCAGAACTAAAATTTTAAATGCAATTGAAAGCGAACAAGTTGAAACCTGGAAAGGAAGCGTCCTCCTGGTCACGGTGGTACACGCCTTGGGAGCCCAACGCCTGGTAGATTGAAGCAGAAGTTCCCCAGCTGGAGGCCAGCCTGGGCTATACAATCAGGCGAACAGGCATTTATAGATAGGTCTTATCGTGGCCATCACACAGCTTAGGGTCACGATAAGGATTACAACACAAGATAAAATATGCCACCTCAGAGAGCATATCAGAAAAGATCCAACCACACACTCATCCAGGCAAGGAAGAGACTGGATTATAAGAGAATATTTCAGATAGAAGGCATAGAGTTTAGTCTTGAGGAGTATTTTAACAGTTGGAAATGCAGTGTAGAGAAAGGAAAAAGCCATACAAGGGATATGATTCTAACCAGAAATCACTAGCCTCCATTGAGGAAAATGAAATGGCGTTGACGGGGAGGGCGTCACAGACCAGGAGGAGAGACAGATAAGAACTCCATCGTGCAAGATAGAAAAACTGGTTCGGGTTTGAGTTCTCCATGCAATCTTAGCAGGGCAATAGGAACAGAAAACAAAATAAACCCAAACTCTGAAGAAGACAGTTAAGAATGATCTTTCAAGCCAGGTATTGTGGCTATGCCTTTAATCCCAGCTTTCAGGAGACAGAAACAGGTAGATCCTTGAGTTTGAAGCCAGCCTGGTCTACAGAGTGAGTTCCAGGACAGCCAGGACTGCTCTACAGAGAAACCCTGTCGCGAACAAACAAACAAGAATGATCATTGAGAAAAATAAACCCCAAACAAACCATCAGTCTTGAAAGCTGTGTTAAAGTTATGAATTAACACCCTGGCCAGGCGGTGGTGGCACAGGTCTTTAATCCCAGCACTTTGGAGGCAGAGACAGGCAGATCTCTGTGAGTTCAAGGCCAGCTTGGTCTACAGAGTGAGTTCCAGGACAGGCTCCAAAGCTACACAGAGAAACCCTGTCTTGGGGTGAAAAAAAAAATAGAAGAAGAGAATAGAAGGAGAAAAATAGAAGTAGAATCAATGCCCTAATGGGTGGTATGGTTACAGCTTAGATCATTGTGGAGAAACCACTTATGGAAGATATTTAGGGTCTGGAGAGATGGCTCAGGGGCTAAGAGCACTAGCTGCTCTTCCAGAAAACCCAAGGTTCAATTCCCAGCACCCACATGACAGCTACTACTGTCTGTACCTCCAGTTCCAGGGTATCTGACACCCTGTTCTGCTCCACAAAATCCTGCATGCATGTGGGGTACATAAGCTCACACAACCACACACACACACACACACACACACACACACACACACACACACAATAAGATTAAATAAATAATTAAAAACATGAAAACTTAAAAAAATATATATTTAGGGAGTAAGTTGGAAAATAATTAGATAAAAACTTGATGTTCCTTAAATTACATCTTCCTGTGTGGTGTGGGGACTTCACTGAAATAGTAAGTCTAGAAAGTACTGTGTTACATCAGTGGCTGCCGTCCTGCGCGGCTTTCTCTCAACCTGACACAAGCTAGTGTAATCTGGAAAGAGGAACCTCAGTTGAGAAATGCCTCCATCAGATTGACCCACAGACAACTCTGTGGGACATTTTATTGATTGCCGCTGATGTGGGAGGGTCTAGCCCACTGTCCTCACTGGCCAGATAGACGGTCCTGGGACACATAAGAAAACAGGGTGAACCGATATGAGAAGCAAGCAGTAAACAGTGTTCCTCCGCGTTCCTCCGTGGCTGCTTCAGTCTCTGCCTCCAGGCCCCTTGCCTTCCCTCACTGGACTCTGACCTTGAATATATAAGAAATCAATCCTTTCCTCTCCAAGTTGCTTTTGGTCAGTGTTTTGTTAGAGCAATAGAAAGCAGAGAAAAACAGCTATAGTATTTAGATGCCCTAGAGGTAGAAGCAATCCAAATGTCTATTAGACAAATACGCTACACATGCACACTGGAACATCAAATTCATTGTTTTGTTTTGAGACAGGCTCTTACTATGTAGCTCACACTGGCTTTGAACTGGTGGTGATACTTATGCCTTGTGACTGAGATTATAGGCATTCACCAAGAGGCACCCTTGGCCTTTAAACGAAAATCCTGACACATCTCATACTTGGAGGACGTTATCACAAGCAAAAGGACATAAAAAGCTAAAGACTGAGCTGAGCATTTTGGCTCTTGCCTGTAATTCCACTATCTGAGAGGTTTAGGCAGGATTGCTGTTAGTTCAAGGCAAGCCTGGGTTATTGACTGAGACCCTCTGGTTCACACACACACACACACACACACACACACACACACACACAGGAACGGAAGGAAGGAAAGCAGGTAGCATATGACTTCACTTAAATTAAGTATATAATCAAGTTCATAGCAGTAAAGTGTGGTGTTTGCCAGAACTAAGAGGTTTTTTTATTTGTTTTGTTTTGTTATCTATCTATCTATCTATCTATCTATCTATCTATCTATCTATCTTAAGACAGGGTCTCTCTACGTAGCCCTGGCTGTCCTGGAACTCATTATGTAGACTAGGCTGACCTCAAACCCACAGAGATCCACTGGCCTCTGCCTCCTGAGTGCTGGGACTAAAGGCGTGAACTACCATGTCTGGCAAAAGTTGTTTAATGAATAGAGAATTGTTTTTTTATTAAATGAAAACATCCTGGAAATTAGTTGCAAAGAAACTAAGGTACTGCTGAATTGCATATTTGAAGTAGTTAAATTAGATAGTAAATTTTATGCTATATGTGTATTTCATCAACTTTGGTTTTTAAATATGCATGATATAATTGAATTTTATTAAATTTTGTTTTGAAAAAATAATTTTAAAGATTTATTTATGATGTATACAGTGTTTTGTCTACATGTATGCCTGGGGGCCAGAAGAGGACACCAGATCTCATTACAGATGGTTGTGAGCCACCATGTGGTTGCTGGGAATTGAACTTAGGACCTCTTGAAGAGCAGGCAGTACTCTTAACCATTGACCCATCTCTCTCTGGCCCCTTGATTATAAAATTTATATATGCATGGAAAAGACAGATATAAAGAAGCTTGCGTATAAGCTAGCTGGAGTATGCTAGAACTGAGCCCCCATAGTTGTTCTCTGACCTCCATGCACACACATGGCACATGCACGCACACAGCACACACACACACACACACACACACACAAACACTAAATAAATGAAATGACAATATGCAAAGTTTTTTTTAGGTTTATTTATTATGTTTACAGTGTTCTACCTGTATGTATGCCTACATGCCAGAAGAGGGCACCAGATCTCATTATAATGGTTGTCAGCCACCATGTGGTTGTTGGGAATTGAACTCATGACCTTTGGAAGAGTAGGTAGTGCTCTTAACCTCTAAGCCATCTCTCCAGTCCCCAATAAGCAAAGTTTAACTTTTACATGCTGATGTCAGTGTAGTGAAGTTTTCTAAAGTTCTTTGATGACTTCAGATGAGAGAGAGTCCACCTAGAAGTTGGTGTTTATTTGTTCATTTAAACATCTGTTCCGTTTTAGTAGTGGACACTGATGTAGCACAAATAATAAAAACCTAGAGACAGATGTTGGGGTTCAACCTGAAGATCAGGGAGCAAAGCAGCCAAGCTACTAGAGAGCTTTTACCTCTATGAACTCTTCAGACTGAAAGAGAGCGAGTTCCTGTCTCATCCTGACTTATATTCCTCTCTAGTGCTGGAATTAAGGGCATGCACCACCACTGCTTGGTTTCTATGGCTGTGGCTGTTGGGATTAGAGGTGTGTGCCACCACTGCCTGGCTGTATGGCTGACTAGTGTGGCTGTTTTGTATTCTGGTCTTCAGGCAAGTTTTATTTATTAAAATACAAATGAAATATCACTATGCACTGAGTGAAGAAAGAAGCTGTGTGTCGGGGACCAGTCTCAACAAAATCACCTCTTGCCAGGGCAGGGGTGTGGGGGTTGAGAAATATTAGTAAAGAATACAAAGACGTGTGTGAAAATAATAAAACAGAAAAACCATAGAATAGTACCAGGAGGGAATTCCAGTGAATACTGAAAATCCCCAAGTTTAATTTCCCATATACTTCTGTACCCCAATACCACAGGGGGAAGAAGACAAAGGCCTGCTTTAACAGGATACAAACTAGAACCGTTACTTGCTCCAAGACGTTGAGATATCAAGTCATTAGCATTCTGTTGTGTAGGCAGTGAACCCATCCTAGACCATGTAACCTGAAGGCAGCCACTCCCAAGGTCAAACCTCCTGTTTCAAAAGAAGGGGCAGAAGTGTGCTTGAATTTCCTGACAATGGGTCAGCACGGAGTGGATCTAGCTGTACAGGCCAATCTTACGGCAAGAGAACCAAGTAGCCACATCCTGACTCAGGATGTACCCTGATTGCTGTTAACAATTGAGCAACTTCAAACTCTTTGACCTTCAGACAAGGTGGAAATAGGCTCACAGTTTTGGGCCTCCACAGCTGTGGAAATGAGGAACAGAACACATCACGGCAAAGCTTGGTAGCGATTCCTGTCATACCAGCACTCAGAAGTCAGAGGCAGGAGGATCACGGGTTCAAGTCAGTTTACAATAAGGTCAGTTGGGGAAGTCAGTCAGTTTGGGCAACATGGATCGTGTGCCAGGAAGTCAAGGGGTGAGGCTGTAGCTCAGGAGAGCGTGTTGCCCAGAGTGTGCAGGCCCTAGGCTTGAATTGCAGCACTGGGTTAAAAACAACAAATAGCAAAAGGGGGGGGGGGATTTTAGCTGACGTGAACTTCCAAATGAATTATCTTTTTGATATGCATTTAATTCAATATCATAGATTTGAAATCGCCTATCAGAGAATGCTGTTGAGTGTCTATTTTGGGGAAGGATTGCAAACCAGACTACTGAGAGCCTCTGGCATGGAGGGGGTGTATCACCACATAAGATCTCCGAATACCTACTTTTACAAAGTTACTAGAAGCTTTTCTTCATCTTTTTTTTTGCAGATTTGACAATGGAGTCTTTCTCTGCTGACAATTCCACTGACCCACATGCACCGCCTCCACTTAAAGCCGAACAAATCCTCTCCATGGTCATTCTCTGCCTCACTTGTCTACTGGGGCTGCCAGGCAACGGGCTGGTGCTTTGGGTGGCTGGCCTAAAGATGAAGCGGACGGTGAACACGGTTTGGTTTCTCCACCTCACGCTGGCCGATTTCATCTGCTGCCTTTCCTTGCCCCTCTCCCTGGCTAACCTGATTCTCCGAGGCTACTGGCCCTATGGCTTGTTCCTGTGCAAACTTATCCCGTCCATCATCATCCTCAACATGTTTGCCAGTGTCTTCCTGCTTACGGCCATCAGCCTGGACCGCTGTCTGATGGTTTACAAGCCAATCTGGTGCCAGAATCATCGGAATGTGAGAACAGCCTTCGCCGTCTGTGGATGTGTTTGGGCGGTGGCCTTTGTGATGTGTGTACCAGTATTTGTATACCGTGATCTACTCACTATAGACAATCACAGTATATGTACCTATAATTTTGATTCCCACGAGAATTTTGATTATTGGGACTACATGTATAAAGACCTACCAGAAAGCAATACTACTGACAACGCCACCGCTCAGCTAATAGGACAAACGGACGACAGATCAGAGCCTTCCCCTTTCCAAAAAAGTGATGACCGTCAGACAGCTGTCACGGCCCTCCAGTCACAAATATTCCAAAAACCTTCTGAAGATCCGTTCCCTCTAGATTTAGCAAGACTGTCTAGTGAACGAGGAGGTCACAACAGTGTAAAACAGCCCCGTGTGCTCTTACCCGCCATCCCCAGTGGGCTTCCTGTGGAAGATCACAGAACCGACACACACGGCGCCGACGCTTTTCTCTCTGCTCATACAGGGCTTTCCACGACTGCTTCTAGCAGTGACGTACACCACCCTGATTTCCGGGACGACTATTCCACCCAGTTCACGCACCGCAATCACAAGCCAACACCTCTGGTGGCAATCAACGTCACAAGGCTGGTGGTGGGCTTTCTGGTGCCCCTTTTCATCATGGTGGCCTGTTACAGCCTCATTGTCTTCCGAATGCGAAAATCCAACTTCACCAAGTCTCGGAGCAAAACCTTGCGGGTGGCCCTCGTGGTGGTGACTGTCTTTTTCGTCTGCTGGACTCCGTACCATATTGTTGGAGTCCTATTGCTGATTGCGGACCCAGAAACTCATTTGATGGAAGCCGCCTTATCCTGGGACCACATTGCCATCGCTTTAGCATATGCCAATAGTTGCTTCAACCCTTTCCTTTATGCCCTTTTGGGGAAGGACTTTAGGAAGAAAGCCAAGCAGTCCATAAAGGGCATTCTGGAGGCGGCCTTTAGTGAAGAGCTCACGCACTCTACCAGCTGTACCCAGGACAAAGCCTCTTCAAGAAAAAACAATTTGAGTACAGATGTGTGAAGATGTGGAGTGGGGACCTAAGCAGAGGCTCCCAGGTGAATACTGATGAAGGAAGACATGGTGAGCAGGATACTGACAGTCTGGTGGCTCTCAGAGAGAGGGCTCTGATTATTGACATCAGTATCATTTGGAAACATTAAAGATGCGAATTTTCAAGCCCCATCCCAGACTTGACTCAGAATCCCCGGCCCCCCGGGACCAGTGTTTTAACAGGCCCTCTTGCTTCTGATTAACGTTAAGCTTTACCATCATTTGGCTTGGTCGACTCCTATCCCTAAGTTGTGTGAGACAGATAACTTAGTCATCCGTTTTCAGTATTAATCTCTTTTTTTTTAGCATCATCTAAATCATCTTTTAGTTTGCATGAAAGGCTGCTTTTATTGTCCTGAGTGAAACATATTCCTTTATTGTATAGCTTTATAGCGGTGATGGTGGTGGTGGTTTTCGTGGGGGGGGGAAATAAGACACAAAAAAGAAAAAGCCTACAAAAGCAAAGAGTGATGAGTCGGAGACTGGGACAGAATAGAAAAGCACCACATGTCTGCGACTCGAAACATCCTCGGATAATTCCAGGTGCCCTTGAGTACCCTAAAGGAGCACAGGTATGCGTGAACACTTTCCTATCATGCAGTGTTCTGGAAGCTGTGGTTTGGAGCGCTCTCTTCCCTGAGCATCCCACTTGTTCATAGACAAGGTCTCAAGAATCCCAGATGGCCTCAAAATTGCTATGCGAAGAGAATTTTGAGCTTCCAATCTTCTTGCCTCCACCTCCACAGGCAGGGATTAAAGGCATGGACCACTATATTGTCTTATATGTGGTGCTGGGAATCAAAACCAGGGCTTCGTGCATGCTAACTAAGCATCCTACCAACTAAGGTGTTCCCCCAGCCTGCTCAGGTTGACAGTTTCGGCTCTCCTATATGAGACTATGTGGTACTTCTGTGTTCACTTCATCGTCTTCCCATAATGTCATTTGTGCTAAAAATAACAGGATTTCTCTTATCTTTATGGCCGAATAACACACATTGTATATATGTAACACATTGCACCATCCACTCAACTGGTAACAGACACCAGGTTCTACATCTTACCCATTATACATAGCACTACACTAAACCTTTAAATTAACTTAATAAAAAATTAGCAACTCCCACCATCTTCTATTTTTTTTTTATGTACATTGGTGTTTTGCCTGCATAAGGGTGTCGGGTACCCTGGAACTGGAATGACAGACAGTTGTGAGCTGCTGTGTAGGGACTGGGAGTTGAGCCTGGGTCCTCTCTCCAGTGCCTGGTATTTCTATTCTTATGTCTATACTCACGTGTTAAATCACTGAACCTCAAGCTTGTTTGCACAAATAGGCTGAACGTATGTTAGTCCTGTAAAAACATTGGTTCGGTTGTCGAGGGAAGAGTCTTAGGCTCCAACTGTTTTATAAACTACTGCACAGAAACATTTCAAATTACTAAGAATCTTTTATTGTCACAAGGTAATTTAGGGCAGAAGATTGCACTTTTACCTTTCTAATGTAAGCTTACATATTCCATATGAATAAACACTTTTATCCGCAAGGCTCTGGGACTCACAGATCCTGTTCATTCTCCTTTTAGATTTTATTCTATGAGTGTTTTGCCTGCATGTGTGTCTATGCACCACCTGCAGGCCTGGTGCCCACGGAGGTTACAAGAGGTGTCTGATCCCTTAGAGCTGGAGTTACAGGCGGTTGTGAAGAAGCATCATGTGGGTGCCGGGAACCAAATCCTGGTCCTCTGCAAGAGCAGAGTGCTCATAACAACTGAGCCATTCCACTAGGCCCCACCTGAAGGCTCTTGGTGACACTTGACCTGGACTACAACCGTTAACTACGCAGCAAATGGAACTCATGTGAGTGACTGCAGACCGCTGTGACAGCAAGGCCAGGCTTCAGGTCTTCTAAGGCTCTGAATGTCCAGGAGTCAGGTCCTGGGTTACTGTAAAGGGCAGAGGGTGAATAATCTTGGCATATTGTGAAGACTGGAAGTATAGTAATTCTGGCAATAACTGACTTCTCCTGAGAAATCTGCTTACTTTGGGGTTGTACTCTGAAGAAAGTTCTACAATTAGATATTCTCATTTCTGATTTTACAACTCTGATGAGAATCTTTACCTATTTGATACTCTCGTCCCTAGAAAGTCTGAAACAAGGACCCAACCTTTCCCTTACAGTACAGTATCCTGAATCTTTTTAGAAATTATATAATACACATAAAAATAATAGACAACATATTTTGATCATATTCTCTCTTCCCCCAACCTCCCTACCCACCCAACTTCATGTTTTTTCTCAAAAAAAAGGAAAAACAACAAAAGACAAAAATCAAAAAACATTCAGACTGAAAAAGGAAAATTAATAAGACAAAAAAAAAAAAAAAAAACAAAAACAAAAACACAACACCAGAAGGTGGTGGCACACACCTTTAATGCCAGCACTTGGGAGGCAGAGACAGGTGGATCTCTGGGAGACTAAGGCCAGTCTGGTACAGAGTGAGTTCCAGAATGGCCAGGGCTACACAAAGAAACCTTGTCATGGAGAAACAAAAACAACAACAAAAAAAGCACAGACAAAGAAACATGAAGTCTGTTCTGTGTTGGCTGCTCCCGGACATGGGGACGGCCCTGGAGTGAAGTTTATAGACCGAGTGGCACTCCACTAGAGAAAACTGGTTTGTCCTTTCTCAGCAGGTATCAGCAGCAAATAGTTGGTTAGGGGGACTTTGCGTCCACTCTTTAAGCTAACACGCCTCTGTTGGGACCAATTGAGTCCTGGCCTTCAGCTGCTCTTCCCTACTAGAGCCTTCTAATTGAAGTTACTAAAAGCTGTACTTTGCCTAGAGGATCAGAGGATGGGATTTTCACCTGTTGGCCATTGACTGCAGGGTATTTAAGCCTCCATGGTGCTATTAAGAGGGTTTTGTACCAGTGATTGGAGCGTGTGTGTTTCCTCAACCTCCAGCCCCTTGCCCGAAGCTCAAACTGGGTTCTAGCGCATAGAGTGCAGGGGGGGGGGGGTGTACGGGACACGCGTGGCTTGGCAGGCCTCCTCTACCCAGCAACCTCCAACAAGATTTCACTACACTTAATAGCATTTTAAAAACCAACTATGAAATCCATGTCTCGTTCTTTCTTGCCCACCACTCCTGCAGACAGCCAGATAATCAACCCGGTGGCAAGGATGGAGGAGGGTAACAGGGTACCAGCAGGAGCCAAGTCCTCTCACAGCCCTCCTCTCCCACCCTGGCGAAAAGAATTTAGAGAAAACTACCAATAAGATAAAAACTGGAGACATTCCTTTTTGTTTTTTTATTAAGAAAGCATGCAAAAAAAAAAAAAAAAACCAAGTTGTGAGCCTATACACCATCTTCCCAGCCTGCACCAATGCAAAGCATTATGGGTGGTATAAAGAACTCACCAAACCAGAAACATGGGAGTTGAGGAGAGGAAGCCTAGGATTGGCGGATCAATACCCAATGATCTCTCCTTCTGTCCTCCTCCTCTGCTTTTTCCCTTATTTCCTCTTATAGGCAGTGACTCCTACGATTTTGCACACATCACCCAAGACAACAACAATGACAAAACTTCACGTCCAGCAACACTGGACCAACAAAATAAAGTAGTTTTCTTTCCGCTGCACGGACGGGAGGGAAACTGAGGCTCAAAGGGAATCAAGTTTGTCCTGTGCCATTTTGCAAGCCTGAGCCTGGTGGAGGAGAGCTGGAAGCCCAGGAGGCCTCAGGCCATCTCCAGGCCCAGCCCATACTTCAGCCACTCTGGCTGCCCACTGGGGCTCTTCACGAGACTGGTTCTCAGGACACAGAGGAGCCAGGGGCCTTTAGGAGTGTGGTTCAGCCTGCCCTTCCCAACCTCATAGAGATCTGACCAGGAAAGCTTTAGAAAAGGAGTGTTGCTCTGCAAAGGCAAGAGGTTGGGGGAAAACCAAAGGGAAGCTACAGAGAATAAACCTGGATGGAAGGAACAAGGAGATGCCCAATTGGGTACCGAGCAAAGGCATGTGCCGCCCACTAGAGAACTAGAGAAACACTCCCTTCCCCAGCGGGAAACACTGCATCATAGTTCAACCCCACCAAACGCTCCTCAATATAATCTCCCATCGTGCTGGCTTTTTCTTATCCCCCTTCTTTCCTTATGAAGGCTTCAAGAGATAAAGTGCTCTTCAGTGAACTGCCCTAGCTTGCCCCTTCACCTCGCCTCACTGGACTGCGACAATCTCATACATGAACCCCTTCTAAAGAAAGGAAAGGGGCTGGCGAAGGGGAAATCAGAATGGAAAGCACATTGTCTGGAAATCATGGATAAACAAAAGAAAATGAGCAAAAATCAGAAACCACAGAAAAATCGACCTTGTCTAGTCTATTTTGTCCATTTCAGAAAAAATGTAAGTAAACTTGGTCTTCCCTCTCTTAAGCCAAATCCAATAAACACACTCACTGAGAACTCTGACCAGTAAGGCCATTTACTGTTAATGGAGATTACTCATCCTACGCCTAGGAGTGACCTGCCATCCCTGGATCCTGTCTCTATATTAATTTCCCTCTTATAATTTTCACTGCCTGTCAAAAGCAAAAGCTTCAACCCCACTGATAGGGATTTCAGGAGAAGCACTCCCTGTGTTGTTAAACAGACAACACATTCCTGACCTGCGTCTATGCCAACTTCCTTTCTCCCCTCCCTCCTATCAGCAATATTACGGATACGGGTCTGCCAAGACAGGCGTGAAAGAGGTTTCCGGAGCACGTCCAGGGCACAAGGAAACCCAGAATGAGAATGGCTTCCTTTTGTCATTTGAGGCTCCCAGAAAATGGGAGACAAAAATAAGACAGGTGGATTATTTGGACAAATAGCTATAGGAAGACAAAATAGTATTTGCTGAAGGGGAAAAGATGGAAGATAACTTACATATGCAGTAATAGCCACAGTTAATTCTCAGAAAGAATTATTTTCCAAAATCAAATGCTTTAAGTTCAAAGTGTTCCCAAGATGCTGAACCTATAATGAACAGTGGTCCTCATGCCCTCTCATAAGCTAACCTGAGAGCATGATCTAGGAGGAAGTCAGGGATACCTAGACAAGGCAAGAGGAAGCCAGGGATGCCCTGACATGGCAGGAGGAAGCCAGGGATGCCCTGACATGGCAGGAGGAAACCAGAGATCCCTTGACATGGCAGGAGAAAACCAGAGATCCCTTGACATGGCGGTGCCACCTAACCTCATGCTGATTTACAGCCCATCACTTCTCCACGGCTTTCTACTCAACTCCACTGTCCAAGCCTACCCTCCATGGGGAATGAGGACTACCAGAAGAAAAGACTGGGTACATACAGGAAGAGTTCAGAGGACACAATTAGCACCATTGAATAAAACCTGCAAAGTCATGGCTGCCAAACAGTGTCTTAGACCCCCTCCCCTTGCTGAGGCCTCTTCAGGCCAGCCTGAAACAGACAGGAACAGAACACAATCTAGAGATGAAAGGTGGAAGTGGCACTGCATTTCTCAGAGGAAGGTGAACAAGAATTTCAAACCTTTCTCTAAGGCTACCATGGCCAAGATTTGCAGCTTGAAAATTTCAAATAGGAAAGAGGAGGGCATAGCCCATGGTGAGGGGCAGCAGACTGGGCAGCATATAACCAATAATAATAATATAATTAGAATAATAATAAAAGAATGAGGAGGGAACAGAGAATGCGGAAGGAAATGGGATTATCTTCGGCAGCATCTTGCGGTGGCTTCTCTGACAAGAGAATGGGAAGAAGCTATATATCTATATACAGGTTTGGGGAGGATGGGCGGGGACTGTTCTTCCCCCATGGCGAGAATTCACCACCAGGCCGTGGGCTGATGTCCACTCCGATTCATTAAGTGATCAAGTCCCAGTCGAAGTCATCGGCGATCTCCTCACTGGCACCAGGAGGGGGGACAGGTGGCCGAGGAACCATGTGGTGTGCTGTCAAGGAGAAAGACAGGCCATGAGGGAAACCGGAGAGCACAAGTCCATCGTCTAGATGGGGCGTGTCCTGCCCAATGACACTGAGCAGCCTGCGGTTCTTTCTGTGACAGACTATTAATTCAGAGACAGCTCAGGAGACACACCAAAGCACACGTTATACACTCTGCATTCTTGAAGACTATCTGACACCTTCTTAAGTTATTAAGGTGATATTATATGAAACAGCAGCACAGAAAGTCCTCTTTGTAGTGCATGGACAAAGAAACAGGCGTCACCCTAAAAACTGAACTAGTGCCCACATGAGATGCCAACAGGAATGTGCCTACAATACATTTAAACACAAACAATCTGCTCGTCTGTGCCGTCTGCAGTGGTCCCGTGTCTGCCTGTACTCTGCCCACCCCAAAGACAGTTCAATCCCACGCTGAGAAAGCAACTCAGTCAGTGGTACAACACTAGGAGACCCTAAGTTTAACCCTAACACTGCCAAAAACACATATAAAAAAGAAAAGGTACCTAGATCCCTGATCCCTGATACTAATGGTCAGGTGACATGAATCTAGATGTGGGTAAAATGTTTACATAAAGCACGCATTCCATTTGCCTGTCTCCCATCCTGACTCCCCAACGGGACATGAACACCCCTCAGAGCTATCTCACTTACGTTTATAATTTTACTTCCTTTCAGTATTGCGATTACAAGGCGATCTTTTTAATTTTTAAAAATTGTACTATTGTATGTGTGTTTTGCCTGCATGTATGTCTGTGTATCACATTCATGCAGAGCCAACAGAAGCCAGAAGAGGGTATCAGATCCCCAGGAACTGGAATTTCAGACTATTGTAAGCTATACCAACCATGTGAATGCTGGAAATCAAACCCAGGTCCTCTGGAAGAAAAAGCTAGTGCTCTTGACCACTGAGCCACCTCTCTTGCCACACAAGGCAATTTTAAAGCAATCCCAAGTTCTGTAGCTCAGAAGCAAAGCCTGTCTAATATGTGCAAGGTCTAGCTCCACTCCTAGAACTATAAATAGGGCAAATTTAATTAAATAAACTGTCTTTCTTCTTAGACGGGCAGTGGTGGTGCACCACCTTTAATCCCAGCGCTTGGGAGGCAGAGGCAGACAGATCTCTATGAGTTCGAGGCCAGCCTGGTCTACAGAGTTAGTTCTAGGACAGGCTCCAAAGCTACAGAGAAACCCTGTCTCAAAAAAAAAAAAAAAAAAAAAAAAGACTACCCCTCCCTAGAGGGTGGTTCATCTCATCCTTCAGCCTTGGAAACCACGCCCCCACGCCCCTCACCCATCCTAGCAGCTGTAGCCAGAACAGCAAGAGGGCTCAGGAAGAAAGAAACAACACTGAGAGATGAGCATGCTTGTCTGTCAATGAAACACTCCCCAGCTTTTACCTGGGCGACTGTATCCTGTTGTGTCCTGGGTGGGGATTGGGTACATTGGTGCTGGGCCAGGGTAGAGATGGGAGGCTTGTGGATGCCCATAAGAGTTCACTGCCAAAGCAAAACAAGAGTTATTTGACTAGGTGCTTATTGTAGTCAACAAAGCAGGGAAAAAAAAAAAAAAACACATTCTCAGCTGGGCAGTGGTGGCGCACGCCTTTAATCCCAGCACTTGGGAGGCAGAGGCAGGTGGGTCTCTATGAGTTCGAGGCCAGCCTGGTCTGCAAGAGTTAAGCTAGGACTGTGTACACAGAGAAACCCTGTCTCAAAAACAAAAAACAAAGCAACAAAAAACCACATTCCCTTGTCCCATCAGCCTCTGTCTCTCTTCCTGCCTTGGTTCATAGATCCTGCAAGCAGGAAGCATTCTGCAGAAGCTACCAATCCTCAGTTCTTAGGGTGAGAAGGGATGGATCCTGGCAGTGTGAAATATCAAAGATCTGAGAATAACCAGAAACATCATCATCAGATCCCTTTTCACAGGCTTGAACCCCCTGTGTGAGTCAGGTGAAGATTATTCCTGGGACAATTTAGAATAAGAACTTTCTTTGCCAAATTTCCTCCCTTTCTAAAAAGTAATTTTGATCTCCGAAACCACGGTATGAAAAGGAACCAGGTCTGCTGCTTCTGCAGTTCCTTAGGACCTCCTGCCGGACTTCACTGATCAACAGATGTTCCGTCAATAAACCAGTCCCAGGGCTCAGTCTGGTCGCTGCCTATCAAACTGGCTCCTCCTTTCTCTTCCCTTCACCCTTCATTTCCTTTACAGTCCACTTCTTTGGAAACTTTGCATAATACCTTGGTTCATGGATGGCTCTGGTTTGCCGCTGGTAAGAGCACAGGAGTCAGTGATGCGGGCAGGGGCAGGTGGTCGGTGGGAGCCCCCTTGTGGGGGCATGTGACCAGTCTGGGTGAGGAAGTGGTTGAGCGAGTCACACAAGTTGGCGATGTGATGCTGGTCGAGGGTCCAGTTCTTCTGCTCTGCCTGCCGTAGACTCTCCATCAGCTCTGCAAACGAGAGAACACCAGCCATGCCAACCCTGAGGAGCCACCACCATGAGAACACCAGCCATGCCAACCCTGAGGAGCCACCACCATGAGAACACCAGCCATGCCAACAGCTACCAAAGCCCCTACCACCCCACCCCTGGTGCAGCTCCTCCCATCTGTACCACCAACACTGTGTACTAACAATAGTGACTTATACCTTTTTCTTCCTTGTGTGATCAGTATATATTGAAATGCAGTATGTCAACAAGTATCATTAAATGTGGCAGGTTTTTTTTTTAAGAGAATGTATTTTTCAAAAATATTTATTTATTTATTATGTATACAATATTCTGTCTGTGTGTATGCCTACAGGCCAGAAGAGGGCACAGACCTCATTACAGATGGTTGTGAGCCACCATGTGGTTGCTGGGAATTGAACTCAGGACCTTTGGAAGAGCAGGCAATGCTCTTAACCTCTGAGCCATCTCTCCAGCCCCGGTTTTTTTTTTTTTTTTACAATTTTTTTTTAAGATTTATTTATTTATTTATTTTGTTCACAGTGTTCTGTCTGCATGTGTGCCTGCAGGCCAGAAGAGGGCACCAGATCTCATTACAGATGGTTGTGAGCCACCATGTGGTTGCTGGGAATTGAACTCAGGACCTCTGGAAGAACAATCAGTGCTCTTAACCTCTGAGCCATCTCTCCAGCCCCTGTGGCAGGTTTTTTTAATGAGAATTTTTTTTTCTCTAGGACTGCATTAACCTTATTCTGTACTCACAATTTTAGAATAAAAAAAGACTAGAAATAATCCTCACTTCAGTCTAGCTAAGGATGCTTCTTGCAAAATTTGAAACTACTTTTTTTTCTCAAAGGGGAATCCCAAAGTGACCATCCAGAGGCCATGATTTACATCTTTTCAACTTTCCATTCTATTTGTTCCTTGCCAAATTCTTATTTTAATTTGCATCTCACTGATGAATAAAAATATTTCAAGTGGGGCTGGAGAGATTGCTCAATAATTTAGAACACTGTCTGCTCTTCCAGAGGACCCAGGTTCAATTCCCAGCATCCACATGGCAGCTAACAGCTGTCTGTAACTCCAAGACTTGACCCCCTTACACAGACATACATGCAGACAAAACACCGATGTACATAAAATATGTAAATATTTTAAAAATGTTTGGAACTGGAGAGATGGCTCAGAGGTTAAGAGCTACTCTTAACCTGGCTACTCTTTCAGAGAACCTGAGTTCAATTCCCAGCAATCACATGGTGGCTCATATCTATAGAGATCTGGTGCCCTCTTCTGGTGTGGAGGAGTACATGCAGACAGAACACTGTATTCATACTAAATAAATGTTTTTAAAAAAATTCCAAGTGTCTTGATGAATTCCCTATCATTTCTCTGTCAGGAAGCAAAACTACAAAACGGTGGTATCTGACTCCCAGGAGCCTCTCCTCCTCCCCAAGACAAAGATGACAGGCACAAAGCATTGTGGTATTAGAACAATGGCAAACATCTGAGTCAACCTGAGAAGACTTATATCTGTCTTGTATAACATGCAGAAGTGATGAAATTCTCAGTCCCACACCTAACTGGGCATCACTTGGGTCCTGGTACATCCCTCTTCCCACTCCGGAAGTGGTCCTTAAAGTGCTAACCTGAGAACTGGGACTGCTCAATGCTGGACCAGTTGAGCCGGTTCACCATTTTGAAGCTTTCCTTTAAGGAGTCGATATTGGAGCACCAGTCTGGAGGGAAGGCTACGGAGAGAAAGGCGCAGTGAGCTAGGGCGGAGAGAGCAGTCAACACGCGCAAGGCTCTCACCGCGACCCACCCGGCTTAACAGCTGCACGACCACTGGGGATTCAGGAATGGTAGTGACCTGTCTTTTTAGCAGGCCAGTTCACAGGCAAATATGCAAACCAATGCTAATTCATCTATGACTATGAACAGGAAACAGTGAGACCCCCGACTTCAATCCCCCACAGTACAGGGCTTTACGAAGCGACTTCCATCGGCTGAGATGAGGGAAGAGGGTAAGAGACTGAACCTAAAAGACCAGCTGCTAGGTTTTCCACCCATGGCTCCTCCACGCCAGCAGGACGGAGTTCACTCACCCTCCTCCCAGCTTCCTCTGTCCCCTCCGTGCTCACCAAAGCCAGTGCTGTTGAGGGGCGCCTGGCTCTGTGCTTGCTGCTGCGGTGGCTGCTGGGCAGGGTGGGAATGGTGCTGATGAGGGTGGTAGCCACCATGCTGCAGTGGCGGGGGATGCATGGCCATCACAGAGGGGGGGCCATAGCCTTCGGCTCCGGCTTGTTTTCCCCCTGGGGTAGTACAACCATCAGGGCTTGGGGTGTGCAGTGGAGGGGCACCCCCTACAGTTGAGGGGCCCTGAGCGGGTGCTTGTGGCTGCTGTGGCTGTGACTGCTGGGGCGGCTGCTGCTGCTGTTGCTGCTGCTGCTGAGGTGGAGGTTGCTGGTACATGTAGTAGTTGTTAGAAGGCGGCATGTCTCCCAGGAGTGAGGAAAACCCTGCCGGGAAGGAGGAAACAGAAAAGTGATTTGAGCTGGACAGTTTCACTAAATAGCATCTTCTCTCAGGAAGAGAGCTCGGGCAGAAGAGTTGAAAGGACAAGAGCATAATCTGTGACCGTGAGGACCCTGTGTCCTCCTAGAAGGTAACAGACCAGAAAATCAGTTAGGTTATGGGAAAGCTTTGACGCACTGGTGACCACAGAAATATTAATAAGAATTTTTAAAACCTCCATTGGTGACCTTTAATGCTACTTTTGGGGGGGAGGGGGGACTTAGGTATAGGGCTGGGATCAGTTTCAAAGGAAGTCACATGGCAGATGAAATTAAAGAAATAAATTATAATGGCTTGCTCCGCCCGATCGGCTCTGCAGGCCTCTGTGGCTCTGCTTTCTCGTATTCACGATCAGGAAATGCAGCTTGGGTGGGAAGCAGCATCCGGACTGGTTAACCTCTCCAGCGACTGGGCAAGGAAGAGCTAACCTGGACAGTGGCGAAAATAGCAGTACATAACCCTAAAGTCTCCACCACTCAACCAGCTCTCAAAATCATTAAGTTCCTTAAACATTAGCAGGTATTTTTTTCAAATTGTGTTTTCTGGGTGGGAAGTGGTGGCACTCGCCTTTAATCCCAGCACCCAGGAGGCAGAAGCAGGAGGACCTCTGTGAGTTCAAGGCCAGCCTGGTCTGTAGAGACCCTGCTGAGGTGAAGAGAGAAGGGAGAGAAGGGAACAGGGAAGGAGAATGGCAGAGAGGCCTGGAAGGAGGGAGGAGCAGAGAGGAGAGGAAACTCACGACATATCAGCAGGTTCTGAAAGGGACTCAACCCAAGTTTACATTTTCTCTCTGCTGGGATGACAGACCTCAGACGGAAGAGTTAATGTGATGGAGGCCCTTGTGCCCCTCAGCATTATGTCTAGTCCACGCTGCCTACAATGGACGACCCAATATACAGGAAGACCTGACGCCTCCCTTGAACCCCCAGCTCTACCAATACATCTTCTTCTTTAGGAATACATGAACTGGGGCTGGAAAGATGGCTCAGTGGGGTAACGTGCTTGCTGTGCACTTGTGAGATGCAGTGTTCGGATCCCCAACACCTATGTGAATGCTAGGAGGGTGGACAGACACCTGTAATCCCAGTACTGAGGGGGCAGAGAGGAGGGTCCCAGAGCAAGGTCACTAGCCCTGGGTTCACCTGATGTTGATCTCAGAACTCCACAAGCATACACATTTTACACATTTACACAGACACATTTGAATATTCAAATGCAAAAACATACACATGCAAAAATGTGTGCATGAGTGTGCAATTGTGTGTATCTGTGTGTGTGTGGTTGCTTTTTTGGTCAACTTTACATAAGCCAGGGTCATTTGAAAAGAAGGGATACCAAGGAGGAAATGCCGCCATCGGACTGGGTATGCAGGCATTTCTGTGGGTCATTTTCTTAACTCATGATTGAAGTGGGAGGGCCCTGACCACTGTGGGTAGTGCCATCCCTGGACAAGGGGTTAAGAAAGCAGGCTGAAGCTGGGCATGGCAGCACACACCTTTAATTCCAGCACTCAAGAGATGGAGGCAGGCAGACCTCTTTGAATTCCAGGCCAGCCTGATCTACATAGTAAGTTCTAAGACAGCCAGGGCTACATAAAGAAACCCTGTCTCAAAAAGAAAAAGAAAGAAAGTAGGCTGAGCAAGCCATGGGAAGTCAGTCAGTAAGTGGCACTGCCCACGGCCTCTGCTTCAGTTCCTGCCTGTCCTCTCGAGGTATCCATCTTTCAGTCCTGGTCTGTAGCACAGCAACAGGAAGCAAACCAGAATACTGTACAGATACAATCACAGCAGAGCGCCGGGCCACACCATCTCAGGAGGCCACCCAATAAGGACTTTTAAGTAGTTCTCACTCAACAACTGTGGAAATTTGCAAATGGGCAGGATATCAGCTGCTGTATTCATCGTGCCGGGAATGGTAAGGTGTGGTGCAGACGAAAGGAGAGGTGCTCACCGCTGAGCGACGCATGCAGAGACAGAATTCACAGGGAATGATGTCTGGGGAGTTCACTCAGCTATTCCCACTTCGAAACAAGCTCCGCGGCAAATACAGTAATCTTAACAAAATAAAGTTAAGTGACGGAAGCCAGGGGTTTGTTATTTATCCACTCTGCTCTGGCATCTGTTTGAAATATTTTAAAATAAAAAATAACAAATAGGGGGCTGGAGAGATGGCTCAGCGGTTAAGAGCACTGCCTGATCTTCCAAAGGTCCTGAGTTCAATTCCCAGCAACCACATGGTGGCTCACAACCATCTGTAATGAGGTCTGATGCCCTCTTCTGGCCTTCAGGCATACAAGCAGAAAGATTACTGTATAACAAATAATAAATAAATAAGTTTAAAAAAAACCAGTCTGGAAAGCTTAATAAAACATTTAAAAAGAAAAAAGAAAAAAAAAAACACTAGCTTTAATCCTGGCACTCAGGAGGCAGAGGCAGGGGGATCTCCCTGAGTTCAAGGCCAGGCTAGTCTACAGAAAGGGGTTCAGGACAAAAACGTTCATAGTGGGGCCCTGTCTCAAAGGAAATAATCATAATAATAAAGTGCTAGGGGCTGAAGGTGAGGTTCAGTCGGCTGCCCCAGCCATAGCTCAGTGTTTGCTCTGATTGTATTCAGTCCTGGTTCCCATCCTAGCTCTTAAACCAAACATGTAACAGAACACACCTGTAATCCCAGCACTCAGGAGGGAGAAGGATCAGAAATTCAAAGTCATCCTTGGCTAGACTGTCTCAAACTCAAGACCAGTCTGAGACAGCTGCCATCATGTCTCAATCTCACTAACTAACTAGAAAGAAAATCAAGTTATTTACTTTAATAAAGCGGAAGGATTCTTTGGGCAAGGATACTACTACTGCCCCCTAGTGATCAAACTCTGAATGACTGGCTCACAGCCCATCGCTATCCCAGAACTAGAGGTGTGGTACACTGGTGGAGCGCGCGCACACACACACACACACACACACACACACACACACACACAGACACAGACACACAGAGGACCCGAGGTCGGATCCCCAGTACTGAGGGAGGGGGGTGAGGGAAATCGCTGCCTTTGGATGATCATCTAGTTTATTTTCTGAAGATAATAACTCAATCAGCTCTCTGGCACCAAAGAGTTTTAGTCCTTATGTTTCCTCTGACCAGTGACCAGTTTCATATATTAAAAGAAGAAACTGGGGGCTGGCAAGATGGCATATTCAGCTAAATGTATCTGCTGCCAAGCACAACCCAAGTGTGATCCCTGGGACATATATGGTAGAAGAGAACTGAGTCCCACATGTCTGTCCTGACAACATGTGCCATGGCATGTACAGTTCATGTGCAGGCACGTGCGCGCGCGTACACACACACACACTAAAATGCAATTTTAAAAAACAACCAAAAGACAGAAATCAGAAGAGGAGAGAATGTTACCGCTTATTTGACAATATAAGAAGCCTTTAATCCCAGAACTCAGGAAGCAGAGCCAGGCAGATCTCTGCGAGTTTGAGGCCAGCCTGATCTACACAGTGAGCGCCAGACAAGCCAGGAATGCATAGACCTGGTGTCAAAGAAAAATAGGAAAGACAGAAAAGAAACCTAAGGCCTGTCCTGGCTGCAGACTCACCGTGCTGGGAGGAGGAGGAGGAGGACCTCTCCAGCATGGACTTGTAGAGGTTGCGGAAGGACCAGCTGAGGTCCTGAAAGTTGATCTCTGAGTAGGAGAATTTGAAGTCATGGTTGGTGTTGTAGAGGGGAGGGGCGCCCTCTGTGCTTTCGCGGCCTGGAGCCCCTGCTGCCACTGCTCCACCATCCACAGACCCCGGGCCCTACAGAAACAGGTAAGGATGATGATCTAAGTCCCTTCTGAAGCAGTACAACCCTCCAAAGGCCACCAGCCACCAGGCTCTCGGGCCCATCCCTGTCACCTTCTCCAGCTGACCAGTTTCTCACCTGCTCTTCCTGCTCTGGTGGGCTCATGTCTTGAATCTGACCTCTTTATTGTCACTACCCATTTCTTCTCTATGACCCTTCCCCAGGGTCCCCTTGCCTTCCTGTCCTGGCTGCAGCTTTCCTGGCTCTTGTTCTTTTCACCACCTATTTTCCTGATTTGCTCAGAATTCTGCCATTCTTCATCTGTCCATCTGGTTCCCTCCCCTTCCTTCTTTCTCAGTTTCCCTGCCTAGCGTATCATGGGTCCTTAGCATGTAGCTGTGAACAGGGCAGTATCCGAACCTACTCGGCCATCCATCAACTGCCCTGTGCCCGTGGCCGGATTCCTACCTGGCTGTAGCTGGCCATGGAAGAGGGGCTCTGCAGTGACATCTGAGGAGTCCCCTCATGAGGCAGTGAGGTTTCTCCACTCCCTGGAACACCTCCCCGGGGGCTTTTGCTGGCCTCCTGTTCTGGGGAGTCTTGGGGCAGCTGAGAATTAAAAAAAAAAAAAAAAAAAAAAAGAGAGAGAGAGAGAGAGAGATAAATCCATATGCAAAGGTGAAACACCTACCTTTGTCCACGCCTTTGTCTCCCCTTTGCTATTAACCCAAACCTACCACAGAAATGACTAACATCCAAGAAAGGGATGTCCCAAAGAGGGAAGCACTTACGTCATCATCTGGAGGGTGCCTTCTCTTCCGGGAAATGTCAGGGCAGGTGTCAATTGTCCAATAAGAGCCCTGGAAGGAGAACCCAAGCCCACCAAGAAGAAACGTATTACCTACAGAAGTTCCTGTGGAAACAGGTGCTCAGGAAGCTTCTCACAGTTGTGCTGGGAATGGGGCGGGGCTGGGAAATGTAACTCAGTGCCAGAAAGCTTGCCTAGCATGGACAACGCCTCAAATTGGATTCCCAGGCAGAGAAGAGAAGAAGGAAGAAGGAAGTGAGATCAGGCAAGGAGGAGGAGCAAGAGAAGGAGAAGAGAGAAAAGCACAGTGTTGGACATCCAGACAGAAGCCGAGGGAGAGGAACAGAGCTGTCCTCAAAGTCACTGAGCAGAGCAAACAGTAGCTTCAAGTGTTCCAATGGGGCAGAAGAACAATGGTAGCTATGTCAGAGAACTGGAAATGGCCAGAAAAACACAACCTTTTCCCCTTATGAGCTGAGGCAAAAGTCCAGTGGGCGTTAGCATCTGTCAAATGGGGAGAATGCCCCCTCCTCCTTTCTCCCTTTGGTAGGTAAAACCTGAAGACTTTGCATAGAAAAGACTTTGCTTCCAAAAAGATAGTAAGCAAACTGGGTATGTTGACACACACCTGTAATCCCAGCATTCAGGAGGGACTGAGGAAGGAGAATGGTAAATTCAAGACAGCCTGGGCTATACAGTGAGCTAGTCTCAAAAAAAAAAAAAAGGTTAAGAGCTAACATTTTACATGTAGGAACAAGTGCCACTCAAAGGAGTAGCAGCCTGGGCTACAGAGTGAGATTATCTCAGAGAAATAAAACAGGCTGGGCATAGCAGCACATGCCTTTGTTAATTATTTGGCTTTTGCTTTTTAAGACGGAATTTCTCTATAAGGCCTTCGCTATCCTGGAACTCTCTATGTAGACCAGGCTGGCCTTGTACTCACAGACATCCACCTGTCTCTGCCTCCTGAGTGCTGGGATTAATGGTGTGCATCACAATACCCACCTTGGTATATGCCTTTAATCCCCCCCACTCAAATCTCCGAGTTGGGGGCTAGCTATTAAGTTCCAGGCCTACAACGCAAGACTCTATCTTAAAACATAAGAAGAAAGAAAAGAAGGAAGGATTGAGTAGGGGAGGAGACAGGAAGGAAGAGGTGAGAAAGGAGGAAGGAAAGAAGGAAGGAAAGGAGAACCTCAAAATCAACTCTATCATAAACATCCCTATTAAAAACAAAAAGATTTCATCGTCTTTCTTAGTCACCCGTTCTAGTGAGAATCCAGAAGCTTGGCAACTGTGTTCTTCCTTTGAGGAAAAACAACGATGCTTTTAAAACTAACATGGCTTCCTCTTCTAGGTAATTAGAGCAGCCACAGGACTGAGTGTCAACTACTTAGCTCTCCTTCCTTCTCCCTCTGGTTCCCCAGCATCTCACCTTCCCAGGGTCGTCCCGAGGTCTGGGCACCTTCCGGAAGCACTTGTTAAGGGAAAGGTTGTGTCGAATGGAATTCTGGGGAAGCAAAGAAGCAAGTTAGGTCTGAGCCTTGTCCAAAGAGACACAGAAGAACATACAGCAGAGTCCCAGGGCACACGCAGCAGCTCTTCACTGTACTGCTGGAAGGCCCAGAAGCCACACAGAAAACAGGGGTGAGAAGAGAGAATCACTGAATTAACTAAATGGTGAGAGGCAATGGCGACCAGGTGGTCCTGAACGCTAATTTATGGTTTTTCAGCCCTCCTACCAAACTGACAACGGGTTCTATGCCTCAAATCAGGAGGATCGCTGAGGTCATGCCTAGCCTGGTGATAGCAAGTTCCAGGACAGCCAAGAGTTACATGGGAAGACGCTGTCTCAAAAAACAAACAAAACAACAAAAATAGCCAGACACGGTGCTCCACATCTGTAAGCCCAGCACTTAGGAGACACAGGCAATAGAGTGGCCACAAGCTAGAAGCCAGCCGGGTCTCAGTCACATGAGTTCTAGGGCAACCAGGACTGCGTGAAAAGACCATCTTTCAAAAAAAGCAGCCGGGGCTGGAGAGTTGGCTCAGTGGTTAAGAGCACTGGCTGCTCTTCCAGAGGTCCTGAGTTCAATTCCTAGCAACCACATGGTGGCTGACAACATCTGTACTGAGATCTGGCGCCCTCCTCTGGCGTGCAGGCATACATGGAGACAGAATGTTGTATACTTAATAAAATAAATAAATATATCTTTTAAAAAAAAACAGCTAGGCATAGTTGCATGCTCTTAATAAACCCAGCTCTCAGGAGGAAGATACCAGGGAATCTCTGTGAGTCTGAGACCACTCTGGTTTACACACAGAGTTCCAGGACAGCCAGAGCTACATGGCAAGACCATGGGAGGAGGGGTGCTGACGAATCAATGAGATGGGGTACAAGGGCAAAGTGCTTGCCACACAACCCTGGAGCACCTGATTCTTGAAACCCATATACAGACAGAAGGGAGAGGCTCAACTCTACAAAGTTATCCTCTGACCTCCACATGCACATCGTGGCACAGGCCCGTGAGCACGTGCACACATACCCTATGCACATAATAATAATAATAATAATAATAATAATAAATTTTAAGTAGGGATTGGGAACTAATTCAGTGGATAAAGAGTGTGGCACCCAAGCAAGAGACCTAAGTTACCTTAACTCAAATCTCTGGAATTCACATTAACTAGGTGTAACCACGCACAGCTTGTACTCCCAGGTTTTAGGATTAGATGTGAAGTGGAGAGTAAGAATCCTTGGAAGAAACAGGGATTGGTGGTGCACACCTTTAATCCCAGCACTTGGGGGTGGCAGAGGTAGGTGGATCTCTGTGAGTTCAAGGCCAGCCTGGGCTACGGAGTGAGTTTCAGGAAAGTTAGGGCTACACGGAGAAACCCAGTCTTGGGGAAAGAAAAAAAGAAACAAACAACAACAACAACAACAACAAATCCTGGAAGATCACACTACACAGTAGCATGTACTCACCTGTACACACATGAACACACCCACACCAACAAATAAACACCTCAAATTCATATCTACCTCTACCTCTCTTCTCCATTCCCCACAAAAAGCGAAAGAACAGTATTTTTATACTGTTTACATATAATATAACAAGAAAAATAATCCGATGGGGAGATGGCTCAGTAAGTAAAGCTCCCAAGTGCAAGGACTAATTTAAATACCTGGAACCCATGTAAAGCCAGGAGCAGTACTGTGTTCTATAATCCCAGGGTTACACACTGGGAGCACTATGTTGTCCTATAGCAAATGGGAGGCAGAGACAGTGCCCACAAGTTCACAGACCACTCCACCTGCTACACACGTGTTAACAACAAAGAGACATTGTCTCAAATGAGAGGGCAAGGGCCAACACCCAAGGTTGTCTTCTGAGCTCCTCGTGTGCTGTGGCACACAACACCATGGCACCCTTGTACCCTCACTAACACATGCAAATGCACACACACACACACACACAAGGACTTTAAAAAAAACAAAACTCAGGAGTGAAACCAAAGCACAGACCAGCTCCGTTTTCTCAACAACACTCAGAATGACCATATCTGGAGAAAAGGAAAAGCCGTGGTACGTATGTGTTGGTATATCGAGAGATGTAGCCTAGAGGAACACAAGTATCAAGGCAAGATTGAATGCTTCCAACAGCCTCAGCTCATCATCTGGTTTGTAAGTCAACAGTGATTTATGGAGTGAGAAATGAGAAAACAACATTTAATTCCCACTCCTCCTCAACATCTGGCAAATGAGTTGCTGCTCCAAATGACAAGAAAGCCTGGCTTGGTACTGCAGGCCTGTCATCCCAATATTGGGCAGTCAAGACAAGAGAATCAGTAGTTCAAGGTCAGCTTCAGCTACATTTGTGAGTTCCAGGTCAGACCAGGCCAGCCCAAGCCATATGAGACACTGTCCCAAAATATATAGATCTTTGGGGGATTTATTGTTTGGGTTCTTCTACTTCTTCCTCCTCCTCCATCTTTTTCTTCTTTTTTGTTTGGGGGAGGGTCCCACTATGTAGCCCTAGCTGGACTGGAACTTGCTATGTAGACCAGGCTGGTCTTGAACTCAGATCCACCTATGTATATTTCCAAAGTGCTGGGATTAAAGGTATGTGTGACTAAACCTGGCTAAAAAATATGTAGTTTAATATCAACCTTCTTTTTGCAAGGAGGGTTCCCACTCTCTCTCCCTAACAACATCGTTGCTTGGTTAGTGAACCAGCTATTGGTAAAGGACCTGGTTACTAGAGAGTAGTAATATACATTCAATTCTTAATATACATACAATGTTTCAAAAGACGATGACAAGGGAGCTATAGAAATTTGATGAGTTTCCTACCAAAGCAGGAGTCATGCCTTGCATTGCTCAATGACTCGAACATTGCAGAGCCACAAGAAAGACAAGAAATCAAAGACTGCCCTTTTGGGGGAACAGGACAATAAGAGGGTGTGGTAACCAACAGCATCCTGCTATCCTATAACTATACTTAATTACTTGGCATCACTAGTGTTTCCATGATAAAGCTGCTGAGGCTGATTTAGACTCAAGTAAATAAAAGTAGGGGTAGAAGAGACCTTGAGTTTATATATCCCTCAGACAGACCAGAAGGAACCAGACCAGGTTATAGGAAGAAATACAAGTAGGGGAAAGATTGCTAACGGCAAAGTACAAGCCCAGGCCGTAGAAACAATCCCACCTTCCAGCCAATGCCAGCATTCTTGTAATAGGGGAAGTTATCGCAGATCCAGCGGTAAATCTCACTGAGGGTCATCTTCTTGGCGGGTGAGGAGTTGATGGCATAGGTGATGAGGGTGGCGTAGCTGTAGCGTGGCTTGCCATCTTGGTGGACTGCTGCTTCATCTTTGCTGAGGGTGGCGTTAGGATCCGTGGGAGAGCCTGGGGAACACTTTCGGCTGCCCCCTGGAGGCACAGCCTGAGAAGCGCTCCCCAGCTTCTCAATACTAGCTCGGAGAGTCAGCTGGGGCAGCCAGTCTATGGAGGTGAGGCTGCTCTCTAGGTCAGAGGCCATTGTGCTTCTGGGTTCTGCAGAGAAGACAAAGAGGGGAGGAAGGCAGATTAATTTCCTGTTTATTGGAGCCAGAACAACCCCATGTCCAATGCATAAGGCAAGCAGTTTCTTCCCATTTTAATTCCTACTCAAAAATGCTCTCCTGAGACAACCCATGATCCCAAGTGCAAGTGCCACAAGTCTCCCACCAGATGACGGAGTACTTCATACCCCCATCTTAATGGAGAGTGTCACTACAAGGCCTCTCCCGCCTTTGACAGAATTTTCTGTCCCTCCCAGTTACACAGACATTCAGTCCCAAAGAAACACAGAGGCCTACATTAATTATAAACTGGTTGGCCTAGTAGCTCAGGCTTCTTATAACTCTTACATCTTAACCCAAAATTCTGTGTTAGCCAAATGGCTTGGTACCTTTTATCAGTGAGGTATTCTCATCTTGCTTCCTCTGTGTCTGTGTGAGGACTACAGACTGAGCCTTTCCTCTTCCCAGAATTCTCCTGTTCTGGTCGCCCCGCCTATACTTCCTGCGTGGCTACTGGCCAATCAATATTTTATTAAAACAATACAAGTGACAAATCTTTACAGGGCACAAGACTGTGGGACAGCCTGGCGGTGATGGTTCACGCCTTTAATCCAAGTACTCCAGAGGCAGAGGCAGGCTGATCTCTGTGAGTTCAAGGCCAGCCTGGTCTACAAGAGCTAGTTCCAGGACAGGGACCAAAAACTACGGAGAAACCCTGTCTCGAAAATCCAAAAAAAAAAAAACAAAAAAACTGTGGGACAATGGTCTTGTACCCTGTAAAGGTTTGTCACTTGTACTGGTTTAATAAAATGCTGATTGGCCACAAGAATTATGGTTTAAGATGTAAGAGTTAGTTAATAAGAAGCCTGAGCTAATAGGCCAACCAGTTTATAATTAATATAGGCCTCTGTGTGGTTTTTTGGGACTGAATGACTGTGGGACTGAAAGGGACAAAAAAATTTTGTCAACAAATGGTACCAATATGGACAACTAAATCCACTTAAAACGTAAGACAGCTTAAGAAGTAATTCTAGACACAAAAGAACAGCATTAAGCACTGCTTCTTGGTAGTAGCATTTTCTCGGGTGGACTCTGTTTGCTAGAGGCAAGCACCTATCATTTAAGACAAGGCTTCCTGACTCAGTTATAGTTACAAAAACCTTGCAGGTCTTTTAAAGGCCCTGCCACAAAACAATTAAGTGGTGTTTATGAGTAGCCGACAGCATACTTCTTGGTGGTGGCAAGGACCTTGATACTCCACAGAGTTGTGGCAAGAAACATGGCTCCCGCTAGTACCTCCACTGTGAAGCTAGACTCTCAGAAAGCTAAAGAATGGAGTGGCTCCAGCCACCAAAGCCAGCTTTAATCCTAGCCATATTTCTTAGCAAATTAGACTCATGTGGTCAGAAAAAAAGAGATATACAGTAAAGACAGATTCAGATCACACACACACACAAAAAAAAAAAAAAACAACAACAAACTCTAAACGGTTTAAACTGTGTTTAAAAATATGTGTAGACTTGTGAGAGAAAAAAAGTAAGAGAGTAGTTGGGTGTGGTGGGACACACCTTTAATCCCAGCACTCAGGATAGAGGCAGATCTCTGTGAATTCAAGGTCAGCCTGGTCTACAGAGCAAGTTCTAGGACAGCCAAAGATACACAGAGAAGCCCTGTCTTTAGAAATATATAAATAAGTAAGAACATATTAAATACAAAGTGTTTCAATGTCTTCAAATTTTTCTTATCGGAAAAAAATATATATATAAATAAAAAATAAAAGAAATAGAGTTTAAAATAAAGTCACATAAAGATGGAAACTACACAGAGTCTGGATACTGTATGTTGTTATTGTGTTGCCTTTGAATTGTTTGATGGCTGAGGAAGGAGCAACAGCTGCTAAAAGACATTTAAGTACTGCTGGATTAATTCAACCTAGGTATTTTGACTTCAAAATTTAAGTCAAAAGATATTGACTTTGGAGAAGAGGTTTTGCTTTTGTTTCCACAGGAAATGAGAGGCTGTGGATTCATTCCGGATTAAGAAAAATCAGATTTGATCAAGGAAGACCCCCCCCCCTCAAAAATCTCCAATAAGAGTGGATGACCCAGATGATCCAACATTTCAGAGGACCTCTTTTGGAGTTTCTTCTGAGTTCTACATCCAGAACAGCCTCAAGACCCCTTTGTGGCCAGGTGGTGGTGGCGCACGCCTTTAATCCCAGCACTCGGGAGGCAGAGGCAGGCAGATCTCTGTGAGTTCGAGACCAGCCTGGTCTACAAGAGCTAGTTCTAGGACAGTCACCAAAGCTACAGAGAAACTCTGTCTCGAAAAACCAAAAAAAAAAAAAAAAACCCTTTGTGCAGGACCAGATAGCATACACCACAAAAGCTGAAATATTCCAATTCTCCTTAGAGCCCTACAACACAGTATTTTTAAACTCTATATAATAAGTTTTTAAAAAAAATCAACCCCACTTAAGCAGCAGGTAAAATTAGCTGAAGTCCATTCTCCAATTACATGACACTTGTATGTTTATATATAGCACCCAAAAGTACATAGCAATAGCACATATAAAGACAGTCTGAGCAAACACAAGTATACACCAATGAAGCACACATCAACTCTCTTAAAAGAGTTCCAAACTAAACGAGAGCACGCAATCTTTTGCTACACACATCTAACAGAAGGCATGCTAAGCATTTCCCAAGGGCAGGTTCGACCTGAGCTGAGTCTGGGAGCACAGGGCTGTATCCTCAACTGCTCCAGAGACTGAGGCAACAGAATCACACGCTCAAGGCCTGCCTGGGCTACACAGTGAATTCACAGGCAGCCTAGGCAATGAGACCTTGTCTCAAAATAAGAAGGCAAAGAGAGGGGCAAGAGATTGTTCAGCAGTTTAGCACACTTGTTGCTCTTGCAAAGGGTTTAGGTTCCATTCCCAAGGCGCACAACCATCTATAAACTCCAATTCCGGGGAATCCAACACCCTCTTCTGGCCTCCTAGAGTATGATGCACCCACACACACACAATACACATACATACATACATCCATGTAGGCAAAACATTCATCCATAAAAAACATAGTAACTTTAAAAGATAAATTAAAAAACAAAAGGGGGGCTGAAGGTGTAGCTCAGTGTAGAATACCTGCTTGGGGTCCTGGGTTCTGTCTCCAGCACCACAATAAATAAATAACCAAATGATGACAACCGGCAACAGCAGGATACAAGACTGCCCCAGGGACAGTGACCCGCGCACAGAGATCACGGCATATACACGGCGTACATTACCAAACAAAGTCACACAGAGGAAACAGATTCTGAGTCCACAGCTACCCTCACACCTTTAAAGCTGTCCCAGGCAGGCTCCCGCCCACAGACACCACCAGGAAGAAGTCATCAACGGGGACCTCCCACCTCCCAGGCCTGCTGGGCTTCACCGAGCCAGGGAGCCACCCAGCTGTGTGCACACCGGTAACAATCAGATAGCCTGGCTAAAAATAGCCTCCGTGGGGCTAAGAGCTGGCTCCCCTTCCCCGCCCTGCTCCCTCCTTCCTTCCCAGCCAGGCACGCAGACTGGCTGCACCTCCATGCAAACTCCTAGTGCTAGAGAGTCCGCCCACGCCTGATGTTTGCCGCCCGCCCAGCCGCCAACCAAACCGCCAAGGCTCTCACCACCAGGGAGGTGTAACTAGCTAGTGACATGTTGGTGGAGGAAGGTGAGGAACGGGGGACAGTAGCTGTGTGGCCCGGTCTAGAAAGGCTGACAGGAACCTCTGCGTAGCCATTTGGCACTTCCGTGGAGCTGAAGCCAGGGAGCCCCTAAGCTCTTGCTGTCTAACAGGTCTGTGCCTGCGCTGTTGCAGGATTCCAGCGAGCATTTCTTGCTCAGTGGCAGCAGGACGGCCGGTGCTCTGCACCAGCCACGGCTACCCCTCAGAACTTGGGACGCTGGTGAGAACCCTGTTCTTCGGGTCATGTCTCTGGCAATCCAAAGCCAAAAGGTGCACAACCAGACCAGACACAGGTAAGCACGGACAGACTCATACACCTGGCAGGCCCACACAGGACCCCTTAGCCTCTCTCTTAACCCCAGCACACCACATACCTTTCAGGCTCTCACTTTTTCATCCTCAACTGTAGTGTTGCCACAGACACTTGCCCTTTCCCCTACAGGTCAGAACTCTGATTCATTCCCCTCCTGACCAGGTCCCACCCTGGAAATCAACCTGTACTCACATGCACCTGGCCCGGTGCTCCCCACCAGCAGCACACCTAGTCCACAAAGCTGAAGGGAACATCTTCGGGAGCCCAGTCAGCAAGAGACCTAACTGCACCCCAACAGTTGTTTGAGCAGAGAACAACAATGCGGCCATGTTTGTAACTTGTACCAAGAAAGCCTGCCCATTCGGCCTTCAGCGCCAACCATTTCTTCCTAATAGTATCACCTTGCCCCAAACCTTGGAAACTTAGAAAACAACAGGGACACATCACCACTCCAGGAAGCCACACACCTTCTAGCCTGTTGCTGGGTTAAAACATCCCAGCCTCTGGACTACAGCAGGGAGCTTGACAGTATCTGTTTCATAGCTGGATACTCTAAGATCAACAGTGACATGCCAATTAGTAAATTTTCAAGGACCAAGTTCATCCCTATTCCCTAGTCAGTTGGCCACTGCCCTCTTCAACCTGGTGTGTGTGTGTGTATCTGTGCAGGTACGCTCACGCGCGTGTGAGTATTGAGTCTGTTGTCCACACTGGTCTCAAACTTCTGGACTCAAGCAATCCTCCTGGGCCTACAGGGCATCAGTTCCTAGCCCCTATTATCTCCTGCTAAATAACCCGAGGAAGTCTCAACTTCAGAGCCAACATATTTCAGTTATTTCCTCTAGCTGCTCTCGAACGCAATCTGGAGCATGAAGGTGGATTCAAAGTGTATAGAGGCCTTACAGAACCCCTTTGACACACGCTAACCACCAGGAATTCCTGGAAGGGAAACACTCCCCGCTCTTTCTAGTTATCCAGCACCCTTCCCTCCCTGAGGTCAGACACCTTTCTCCACTCCCCTCCCAGGCAGCCCTCCCTCCAAACGCAAACCTCAGTGCTCAGGATCCATTCCAGCATGAACTCCACAAAGCTCACAGGGCCTGGTCCTCCGGGTCTCCCAGCACCCTGCTCTTTAGCCTGGCCCACTTCCTTACCCCCTCACTTCCCCATTCGTAAAGAGCAGTGGAGATTGACTGAGCTTCCTCCATCCTATTCCCAACCCCAACACTGACTCACTAATTGCCCCTAGCCATCCCTCGCTCCCTGATGAAGTCTTCATGCCTCAGTTTCCCCCTCCAGTAAAAGAAATGAAGTCATAGCCCCTACCAAGCTTCATCCCTGGAGGGACAGGAATGAAGCTAAGGCGCGTAGCTGCCACACATTCCACACTCCCCAAAATAATGGCACCAGGCTAATGTCCAGGGCTATTATTAGAACAGCAAACAAGAGGTGGTTCCATTTCTCAGGCCAGCCAACCTAGTTACCCAGACCTCTCTCCAGGTGGGCCTCGTGCCACTGGGCTGAGGCAGAACCTGAGTCGGGCCACATTCTTCTCGGCATGCTGAAAGACTGGAAGGAAATAGAGAATCTGGGAAAGGCAGCCAAAGGGCAGGCTCCATCACATCCACGGGACAACTAATGAAGACTTCAGTGCTGGGGAAAGGCAGAAAACAAAACAAAGGCAAACAGAACGTCTTCTCTGGAAGCCACGGCCGAAGGTATGGGACCTGTAAGCGTCACAAGAGCCTGAGCTGTTGGCTGCCCATCTTACCCAGACAGCTAATAACTGTCCTCCCTGTGGAACCCAAGCTGGGTATCCCAGAGGGATAACTTCCTGGGCTGTACCTAGTGCCAAAACTAACAGGGCAGTGGCGGAGTGTATCTCATGATCAGCCACGCTGCCTGCCTTTCCAGCCCAGCTCCTATAGACGAGTCATTTAACGTCTCTGTATCTTAATTTCTATCTCTATAAAATAAAAAATTCTAATAAGTTAGATGTAGTGACTCAGCTTGTACTCCTAGCACTCTGGGAGGTTGAAGCAGGAGGATTGCTATTATTTAAGTCATCCTGAGCTGCATAATAAACTCAAGGCCAGCCACTGCGATACAGTGGGACACTGTCTCACACACACACAAATCTGAAGTTTTTTTTTTTAAATTTGTTTCTCAAGACAGGGTTTCCCTGGGTAGCCCCAGCTACACTGGCTGGCTACACAGATGCCCTGGAACTCACTCTGTAGCCCAGGTTGTCCTCAAACTCAGAGACCAGCCTGCCTTCACCTCCAGTGCTGGGATTAAAGGTGTGTGCCACACTGACCAGCTTAAATTTCTTTTACATAAAGGTTAACTATTCCTACAACAGTTGTTGTAGAGATTATATTTCTTAAGATGCCTAAAGCACTTACCAGGTGAACCTTTACTTTTGAATGAAAAAAGCAAAGAACATTAGGGGGTCTGGAGAGATGGCTCAGTGGTAAGAGCTCTGGCTCTTCCAGAGGTCCTGAGGTCAATTCTCAGCAACCACGTGGTGGCTCGCAGCCTTCTGTGCTAAGATCTGGAGCCTTCTTCTGGCCTGCAGGCATTCAGAACACTGTATACACAATAAATAAAAATCTTTAAAGCCAGGCAGTGGGGGCACCCGCCTTTAATCCCAGGCTAGTGAATCTGTGAGTTCAAGGCCAGCCTGGTCTACAAGAGCTAGTGCCCAGCTAGGCTTTAAAACTACAGAGAAACCCTGTCTCGTAAAACCAAAAAAAAAAAAAAAAAAAAAGGAAAAAAGAAATCTTTTTTAAAAAAACAAATAATAAAAGACCCAAAGTTTAGTACCAAGCACCGAAGTCTTTTAATGGAAAGAGAACACTATGGGCTGAAAAGATGGCTCAGCAGTTAAGAGCAGTGGCTGTTTTTCCAGAAGGCCTGAGTTCAATTCCCAGCACCCACACGGTGGCTCACATCTATCTATAACTGTAGTCCCATGGGATGATTCCCTCCTCTAGTGTGCATACTTGAAGAGAAAATACTTATAGACATAAAATACTGAAGTCTTTTTTTGAAAAAGAAAAAAGAACGTAGAAATTAGAGCAGAAAGTAGAGGCAGCATCAGAAAGATCAAAGGTGCAGTGGTCGCGTTGCAAGGCTGGAGCAAAGCTGCAGGCTGCCGGGACGTCCGAATTTCCAAGCAAGCTTCCTTCAAGTTCCTATCAATCCAGTCCTGGCTATGTAAGAGGGGGAACCTCCAAGGATGAAGGGATGGGGAAATACCATCACTGTCTTTCAAGGGGATTTAGGTGCAGGCCTAAGATACAGTCTGCAAAACAGAACGGTTCACATCACAGTTAATCCGACCAGCCCCGCACTGAGTCCTGTCCGGGCAGAGCCAGTTGAATGAGTGGGTCCGCCTGGAGCAGCTACAGGACAGTTGGCGCTGAGCCGGTCACACTGAGCCGTTCAGAAGCTGCACCCCAGCGTCTGGTGAGGTGCTGTGTAAGAAACAGACCCCGCTACACCAGACATCTGTTTTTCAAAAGGAGGCGAGGCGGTGCTAGACGTGGAAGTAAAGGACCCTCATCCTTTTTAGGACTGGAGGCACCCATGGTGAGGCTCTACTACCAGTCGCGGAAGCAACAGGCCCAACCTGAGAAAGGGCTGCCCTGCTGCCAGGGATGGCTGCCAAGAGGGGGCCGTGAGAATTCCCACTGGTGGGGGAGGGGGCGGCTAAGCTTTTCTCCCAACTCTAGGCCCTTGCAGAGGGTCGCCTGCTTCCACAGGCCTGCCACAAACAATGCTAAGGGATCTGAGAGCAGTCTGAACACAACAATGTACCCTTCTCTGTGTACACACTCAAAACACAGACACCGAGCGACGTTCATTTCCACTCAGAAGCACGCACATCATTGTACAGCACGGCCATCGGACCTGTCAACTCCAGCCCTGAATCACACTCCGTCACTACAGAAACCTCCAGGGTCAAGTGACGGGACAGAGACTTAGGCAGTCTGCTCAGGGCCCATCTAGGAAGGCAGATACTGAAAACCCAAGAGGGGGAAGCCCCATACAGAAGATGAGGCACAGTCCACTGACCAGACGGGAGAGCAGGCCCGCAGGTCATGACCTCGGGTAAAAACTCAGCTCCGCTCCAGACACAGTCCAGGCTCAACCAGAAAAAAATTTCTTGGTTGTCTTTTGTCCTGCTTTTTCTAAAGATTCTGGATTTTGATGACTCCCTGAGGTAGGGTGAAAATTTTCACCACAAGGTTCCTGGGACCCAGAACTAAACAAGAGAACAGGAAGAGAGATGTTGAGACCAGTAGATGTTTTCCTGGGAGGAAACTCTTAAAAAAAAAAAAAAAAAAAAAAACTCTGCAGAAGGTCAGACCTCCCTGGTGGTCAACTCCTGGAGACAAGGTGTGTGGGGGTGGGGGGGATGTTTTTCTGGGAGGAAGCTCTTTAAAAACTCCATGGAAGGTCAGACCTCCCTGGTGGTCAACTCTTGCAGACAAGGTGTGTGGGGGTGGGGGACGCTAGGAAACACTCCCTGCCTCTAAACCACAATCTGATTTTTCCGGAGGAACTGTCAGCGAATATAGAGGACTTGAGGCAGAACCAGTATCTGGGGAAGACTTCAGCCCACCAGTGTGCACTACCCTAGACAGTTTTTTTCACCTCCGGACATGTGAATTCACCCTTCTTATGGAGGGCAGACATCCAACCTGAAGCAGGGATGTCAGAAGGGCCTCCTGGTACCCAAGATAGAGATAGATAGGTGGGGACAGATTGACAGGCAAATAGTCATTGTCACAGACTGAAAAGAAGACCTCTGTTGGCCATTAAGCTGACGTAGGCATGCCCTAGACAAGACATGAGATGCCCCATGACTTTACGGGCAGGTCCACTGAGCAGAGGACAAGACCCAAACAGAGTGCTGTGGGATGGGATTCTGGCTGTGCTGTGTCCCGCATTCCTCACAGTAACCATGGCGTCCTTGAAACGCACCTGTTGTCCGTTCTCAGTGCAGAGAGAGCATCCACTTCTTTAGGGACCGCAAATGGCCCATCCCTTTGGTCTCCGAAACCTACCTAAAAAGCCCGTTTCTCAGAGTCTCTGTAACAACATGTAGCTTCCGGTGCAGAAGGTCCATCAGAAAACATCCCCCAGGGGATTCTACCTTCCACTGGCATGAACCCCGAGATCCACCATTTCAGCCCCCCATACTACTGGTGCGTAAAAACCACAGAGACAAGATGCAAGAAAGCACTAACCTGCCTCCAAGGTTCCCCCAGCCACCGGAGGAAACCACCTGGTACAGAAGTCTGTGGTTGCAGGGATTCCCCTCTTCACAGGCAGGTGACGGGGCTCATGCTCTGTGGCTCTTCCAGCGCCTGGCGGAGCCTCCCAAGCTGGAGCGGGGAACTCTGTCCCCCGAGGAAGAGGAGTCGAAGGAGGAGGAGGGGGAGAGGGTGGACCTACCTGGGGAAGGTGGCACACCCCCCACACCCTGCCTGCTACCCTGGGGAGGAGGGGAGGAGCCTCTCCCAACCAGGAGTTGTCTCCTCCCCCTTGGGGGAATCCCCCTCTCCCCCAAACTGGCTCTTTCAGGGGCTGAGGGCTCTTTCCGTCTGCTGGAGATCTGAGCGGAGGGGCTCTGCCCGGGTCCACTGTCTAGGTGCACGGAAGTTGAGGGGCGAGGTCCTCCACTCTCCAGCAAACTGGAACCGATTGCTGCCGGTTCCCCGGAGAGTCCTGGCTTGTGCGTGTCAGGACGCCTCACGGCGGTGAGTACTGGGTGGGATGCGGGGTGCCTACTCCACAGGCATGGCTCCCTTTCTCTCTGCCTCCAAAGTCCCGAACTGTCTGGAGTGCGGTGAGGAGTGGAGACGATCTCACTCCGGGTCCTTCAAGTCCCACTACCCTTCCCGACTTCTGGGGGTCTCCTCCAGAGCCAGCGTGGGAGGGACAGCGCGTGCCCTGCGGAGATCTCTTCTGGCGGTCCCGGCAGTGGGGAGGGTCTTCCCTCCTACGGGAGAGGGTGCAGGTCCGGGCGCCGGTTGTCTCGAGGGTGGGGTCCACGCACTCCCGCTCCCGCCCGGCCGGCCTGGGCAGCAGGGTCCCGGAGGCCGCGGTCCCGGCTCCCGTCACCCGCTCTAGGGCGGCAGCGCCTCCCTAGTCGCGTCCCCGGTCCGCCGCGCTTCCCCGCGCTTGGGGCTCCCCGCGCTGCCACCAATGAAGCTCCGGCCAGCCGGTCGGGGTTCCCGGGAGCCGGCAGGCGGACGGAGCGCGTCGGGGCTCGGCTCGGGCTCGGCTCGGCTCCGCTGCAGGCCCCGGCTCCTCCCCGGCCTCGGCGCCGCGCTCCGCGCCCCTCCCCCTCCCGCCGCCGCGGCCACCGCCTCCCGGCGCGGGTTAAGGAGGAGCGCGGATCCCCTCGGGTCGCCGGCCCTAGGCTCCGGGGCACTCCTGGTGCCAGCGTCCACGCTAACGGCCACGCAGACCTCCCATTGTACTATAATCTCCTTCGAGACGAGCATTCCCGGTTTTCTCAGAAACGTCTTTGATGGCTTCTCTTTCTCTTCCAGACAGCTTATAAAGGGTTATGGAGACTAGCGTGAAGTTAAAGTTTACTCTTATCCTGGAGGTCAGTGGTTGTTTCTTGGGTCAGTGGATGTATAAAAGGATAGACGAGCTTATAGAGAAATAAGCATCGGGAGATGGAGTCTTATTAATTCTGGCTCCGTTAACTTGTGCAAGGCCCTTGTTTCTGGAGTCAGTCACCCAGGAGGGGACTTGGATACTCTGACCTGCCTTCTAATATGGATGTCTCAGTCACCAACGGAAACGATTTGTGTAAAGATGCTCTTTAAAACCGTACATATACAAAGGGTGCAAAGTATGGTTGTTATTTTCCTTGACATGCCTATAAATTACCATTTTTGACCTTTGTACTAAAGTCAAGCCATATTTCTAGAAAACATTTTATCCTGAGTGCCACAGGAGGGACGGAATGTTCTCTCAGCGCATCCTTCTACTCCTTACAGAATAATCTCCATTCTGGGACAGGAAATACCACCAGGGTAGCCTATCTCTTCTACCCGTCGAGTCGCACACTACATATTTCAGCCTCTGGCTTACTTTTTTCTCCAGTTGTGTTCTAATATAAAATGATAAGGCAAAAAATGCTTATTTAATAATTGAGTTACTCAAAAAGCTTACAGTTTGATAACCACCTTTAGATAGTCATGCAATTTGTCTTCTGGCTAAATATATGCTGCTACATTAAGTTCTGTGTACATACAATTCCATCACATATACAATGTGCAGGCACTAAACCTTCACACGTCTGCGTGTGTTAATCACATTTGAGTCTTATAGCAATTCCACATAGCACTGTCATTGTGTCTTGTAGAGTGTAACTATGGCTGGAAGATACTGTCTTCTGTGTCTGAGTTCACATAACTCATACCATGACGTAATTAGAACTATTTTAAGTCAGGTGTTAAACGCAAATGGCCCCAGAACGCCCAGTACATCATTAGCTTGAATGGGGAAAACATAGCCATTCTTGAATTGTCAGGAGTGAAGCCCAGTGAAGCCATTTCCCTCCCCACATTCCAGTGTCCAGTTTTTAAGGATGCATTTCCTCCAGCGTGGGGGCACTCCTTGTGTTCACAGAGGAGGATCTGGAGTTCAAGGCCAACTAAAGACCCTGTTTTTAAAAGGAAAGAGGAAGCAACATTTCAGTTGGTAGAGTGTTTGCCTTGCAAACAAGAAGCCCTGGTCTCCGTACCTAGGACTGTGGAAGCACAAGCCCTATATGGTGGCAAGTACAGTCCCAATACTGGGGAGAAGGAACCAGGAAGATCAGGAGTTCAAGACCAGCCTACACTACTAGTTAGTTGGGGGAGGGGGAGGTTGTTATAAGACAGGTAGCCCAGGCTGGCCTCAAACTGACTATGTAGAGGCAAAGGCAGAGGAATCTCTTGAGTTTGAGGCCAGCCTGGTCTACAGAGTGGAGTTCCGGGACAGAGAAACTTTGTCTCAAAAAAAAAAGGGGGGGGGGCTGGAGAGATGGCTCAGTGGTTAAGAGCATTGCCTGTTCTTCCAAAGGTCCTGAGTTCAATTCCCAGCAACCACATGGTGGCTCACAACCATCTGTAAAGAGGTCTGGTGCCCTCTTCTGGCCTGCAGACATGCACACAGACAGAATATTGTCTACATAATAAATAAATAAATATTAAAAAGGACATCTATTTTAAAAAAAAAACTTTAGCTGCTGATCCTGGTCTGTTGGCTCAGCAGTTAAGAGCACCTGCTCTTCCAGAGGACCCAGGTTCAATTCCCAGCTCCTGCATAAGGCACTCACAACCATCTATAATGCCAGTCCCAGGGGAACTAATGTCCTCTTCTGGCCTCCATAGTTACAAGGCACACATGCAACAAATATACATGCAGACAAAAAAATGTTTAAACTTCTGATCCTCCTGCCTCCGCCTGCCCACATGCTGGGATTGCAGGCCTGTGGGCACAGTAGCTCTGGTGGTGGTGGTTTTGTTTCAAGACAACCTTTTAATTTATATTTTATCTTTTAAATTATGTATCTGTGTGTGGGGTGCAGGTGTTCTTGGAGGTCAGAGCTGGAGTGATGGTGATTGTGAGATGCCTGATTATGGTTGCTGGGATCTGAACTCGGCTCCTTGGCAAGAGGAGCACCACTTGTAACTGCAGAGCATCTCTCCATCCCCACACATCAGTGTTACCCATCCATCCAGTGTTTCCCATACATCCGTGTTACCCACGCATCCAGTGTTACCCACACAACAGTGTTACCCACACATCCAGTGTTACCCACGCATCCAGTGTTACCCATCCATCCAGTGTTACCCACACAACAGTGTTACCCACACATCCAGTGTTACCAAGCACTGAGGCAAACATTCTACCAACTGAGCTCCATGAGACAGACCAAAAGAGCTCCACATGGTGGCCCACATCTATAATCCCCAGCACTTCTGAGGCTGAGACAGAAGGACTGTCACAAGTTTGAGGCTAGCCTAAACTCCATTTCAGGCCCAGCCTGCATCTACATATCTTCCTGGGTCTGTGTTGGATGGTTACTGGTATATCCCATTTGCAGGACAGGGGTTCGAGGTAGAAGCAGTATACAATGAAAACGCTAGGGTCTGTAGACATGATAAATACAGAGCGTAGGCTCTCACAGAGAGGCCGGAGCTGCGTTCCCAGATCCCATGTCCAGCACTCATAACTACCTGTAACTCCAGAAGAACCGAGTACCTCTGAGGACTCAGGCACTCATGTGCAAGACCCACTCGTGTACAAACTGAATTTTAAATAAAATTTTTTTAAATGGAGCCGGGCGGTGGTGGCGCACGCCTTTAATCCAAGCACTTGGGAGGCAGAGGCAGGCGGATCTCTGTGAGTTCGAGACCAGCCTGGTCTACAACAGCTAGTTCCAGGACAGGCTCCAAAACCACAGAGAAACCCTGTCTCGAAAAACCAAATAAATAAATAAATAAATAAATAAATAAATAAATAAAATAAAATAAAATTTTTTTAAATGGAAAAAACTAAAGAATAGAACCTCTTAAAAATTTGGGAAAATAAAAACTCAAATATTGTTCATATATACAAAATGTTGACTGTAACATTTTGTTTTTGTCTTTTGTTGTTGTGGTTTTTTGTTTTGTTTTTTGAGACAGGTTTTCTCTGTGTAGCTTTGGAGCCTGTCTTGGAACTCACTTTGTAGACCAGGCTGGCCTCAAACCCACCTTAAATTCTCCTGCCTCTACCTCCCAAGTGCTGGGATTAAAGGTGTGTGCCACCACTGCCTGGCTGGCTGTAGCATCTTTATAGAAGCAATCTAAGTATCTAAGTAAATCTAAGTAAAATGAGTCGAACAAAAAAGAATTTATAGTAACTCTACATAATAGAATATTGGTTGGCGTTTCAAAGAGTCATTATACTTCATTCTGTGTGAGCCCAAATAAAGTCTTTCAAAAAATAAGGAGCAATTATATTTAATTCTGGAAATAAAATCATTCGGTTGCTTTTAAATGTTCGTATTGGAATAGAAAATTACATTTCAGGAGCTAGAGAGATGGCTCATCAGTTAAGAACATTTCTCTTGCAGAGGACCTGGGTTCGGTTCCCAGCACCCACGTGGCAGCTCACAACACTCTGTAAGCCCAGATCTGGGGATCTGAGACCTCTTCTTTCCTCAGGCCCCTACATGCTCATACACTCAGGCACACGCTTATAGACATAAATTTTTTTTAGTAAAATTACATTATAATAATTTGTCTACAGAGGCAGGTGGATCTCTGTGAGTTCGAGACCAGCTCTGGTCTACAGAGCTAGTTCCAGGACAAGCTCCAAAGCCACAGAGAAACCCTGTCTCGAAAAAAACAAAAAAATAATAATAATAATTGGTCTAATAGGATTAAATAGGTATTTTTAAAATGTGTCTAGGAGATAGATTACTCGGTGATTAAATAACACTGCTCAAAAAAACAATTACGCGTGATACTTGTGTGTGTGTGTATGCATACGTGGGTGTAAATACACTAAGTAGTTTTTATTTTAATTCAGTTTTTACTGTGTATATTAGTGGTAATGTGGGTTTTGCTTATGTAATGATCTGTAGTTTTCGGGGGCCAGTGAGAAGCACCTGCCAAAAAGCATATTGACCAGAGTTGATTCCCGGAACCCACATAGTAGAAGAACCAACTCCAACATGCTGTCCTCTGACCTCCACACGTGTAGGGAAGCATGTGCGTTGTCACACATGCCCACTAAATACATGAAGGAAAAGAAGGGGAAAAGAACAGCAAGCCTGGCTTAGTTCTATTAAGACCAAAAGCGGGAGGAGGCGCTTGCGTTCCATGCCCCTTTGCTTTCCGGTAAGGATGGTGTTGACTTGGGGGAGGGGGGGAGATCAAGAGCCTCTTTTTAGAAGGCTCAGTTTAGGTGTTTGCCATGAAAGTCTGGTGACCTGAGTGTGATCCCTGGAAAGAGAACAAAGTTGTCCTCTGACCTCCACAAGTGTGGCACCCAAGCCCCTATTCACACTCTTAATCAGTTTGGTTTTGCTTTTTGCAAAATTAAAATGTAAGGAACCATCCTTCTGTGATAAGACACATGTAGTTGGTTTTTAAGATTTCCAGTTTTTGCCTGGCGGTGGTGACAACTAAGGAAACAGAGGCAGGTGGCTCTCTGTGCGTTAAAGGCCAGACTAGTCTACAGACTGAGTTCCAGGACAGGCTCCAAAGCTACAGAGAAACCCTCTTGAAAAACCTAAAAAAT